GGTTGCGCCAGTTGTACATCCCGAGTGCAAACAATTCTCTCTGTCACATGTTCCTTCCATTGTGTGCGTGGGCGCACTTTCTCTCGTTCATACATGGGCGCCGAGTCGAAGTATCTTTTCCCTGGAGCTTCGTCAACCATACGTATTTATAACATGATCAAGCCAGCGCGCAATCGTTGTATTTTCATGCGCGTTCGTCAATCCATCTTTTTCAGTACCCGTCACCCATGCAAACAGGGCCACACATCTTGCGTAGAATAATTCTCTAGAAACCCTCCAAAGCCTTCTCATCTTTGTTCGATATCGTCCATTTTTCTGCTGTATATAAAAGGGCAGTCATAATGAGAGACTTGTAGAGCGTAATTTTTGTTCTTCGGGAGCGACTCTGCTTTTCAATTGCCTACCGAGCCCAAAGTAGTATTTGTTGAAGAGTTATTTTTCACTTGATCTCCAGGCTGATATTATTTGTGGTGTTTACGCTGGATCCTAGGTGGACAAAGTCCTTTACCACTTCAACTTCGTAACTGCCAACAGTGTTGTGTATCCCAATACGCGAAGACTTGTTTTTACGTGTTGCCATTAGGTACTTTATTTTCTTCTCGTTGACCGCTAGGCCAACCTCTTTCGCTTCTTTTTCTAAACGGAAAAATGCTGCGCCGCGTCCCTAGTACTCAGGCCGACGATGAACCACTAACTACATATCTCAAATAAACTAGGGATGTCAAAAGGTTCTACCTCCGCGATGCGGCAGCTTCTGTAGAGAGAATTCTTTGATACGCACTAGCTTTGGAGCATCCGTTCAAAAGCGCAGTGACGACAGTAAAAACATTGTAAGAGATCTGTTGAGTTTCAAAAGGTCTTCCGTCGTTTCCTATATAACGGCCATAATGACATTGAGACATTACAAAAATATCGTTTGTCCTTATGTTATTTATAATGTCTGTGGTGGTTGTATAGAAGTGGTGTTTATTGGCATCTCAGAGAAATGCCTCATTTCATTCGATATTGCTATGTCCGGGAACCCAGCAGATAGCGGCGTTTAAATGTCACAGCATTTACGTAAAATCTCCGATTTCAATATTTTGGATATAATGCTTTCAAAGTCGATGGGGACAAAGATAAACGCTTTTTCAGCCGGAATCATTTTATTAGAGTAGCTGCCTGCATGAATCTAAGCCTGAAAGACGCTGCAGTATTTTGGAAGAAGCAATTGATTGATCCTTCGAGTAGACTCAGATGCCTGTGATCGGTTCTATCTTTGAATTGCCAGGAACGAAAATTATCAGCGGTTGCAGGTGAATGGTCAAGTTAAGCCTCTTCCGATGTGTGAGTCTATGATCTGTTTGTCTAGACTCTATGTAGAGCTTTCTGCCAGACTAGAGCCCTTTGCTGATGTAGTTAGCCGCTAGCGATTTCCACATTTTCCGCATTAATTTTACGCTTCAATGATATCAGAAGTGCTGGTATAACTATGTCATCAAATAACTTTCAATTATCTAATAGGAAGAACACTTATAATACAGCGAACCTTACGGAGTATTACAAAGGCGTTTATTTTAGATTGCACTGGATAAAGACGGCTTTGTTCTGAGGACAATAACACATCGAATATCATCCTGTGTCAATATCCACCCTTAGGTTAGGTTAGGTTATTCTGACTGGCTGGAGTTTTAGTTAAGTATATTTGAAGTACACATCATTGAAGATGTTTTGAGAATTTCAGTAATGCTTGAAGCCCAAGTGTTGTCATGTCTTCAAGATTATTAAACTCTGGAGCTACAAGATATTTCAATCGTATTTTTGTTACAGCGGGACAAAGGCATAGGATGTGTCCACCCTTAGCTAGACTGAGATTGTGGTGTGCTTTTCCAGTATCTCATTTAGAATAGAGCATTTTACCGACGATAGAGCATCTGCGACACCTAAAAGGGCGGGCATTATGAGAGGTTTCGTCGGGAAGCCAAAGTTTTAACTCTTGGCAAGAGGCATTTTCTTTTTTTTTTTGTACTAGGCATGCAATGTAATTCAATACGCGAGGTCTCTATGTGTTGCCAGCAAGCACTTTGTATTGTTGTTGTTCCCCGCTGACTGCTCCTAGGTGTTAATATGTAACATCTGCAGCATTGAAACACAACTTACCCTCCTGAATCAGGATCGGCTTTTTAGTAACGGCCGAACACAAATTTCGAGGGCAAATACACTATTATTTATTCAAATTAAAAATTTGTATTATTTTCCACCATGCAAAACATGAGAAATAGGCAACAATCGTCAATGGCAACAAATTGGCGATTCGCCGATTTATTGCCGTAGTGAGAAATCGGCAACATTATTTCTCTTACGTCATTTTAGGAATATATTTTCAAAAATTCCCAAACTGATGAACTTCGCGTCAACAGGATTCTTCAAAAACATTTAATTTATGCCCAAGACAGGGTTGAAAAAATACGAATCCCCATAGCGACGAAAATAGTTAATTTCGTTTACAAATTATAAGTTTGTGTCCAAAAACAAATGAAATATTAAAAAATAATAAATTTGTTGCAAGAAATTATTATTCAAATATCGCCCGTAGCAATAATAAAACTACTCATTCAGGTAATAAGAAAATGACTCGAGGCGAGTTGGTTGCGGCGGACGTTTTAATGGTAATAAGAAATCGATACGATGGCGATATTGCTGGCAATAGATTTGTTGCTGAGGGCGGCAAGTTTTCTTATATCCGGCAACAAAAACTTATAAGTACTGCTTAAGCCAGCAAAATATCGTACCGATTCGTGTAACAGCAGCGGTAAAATCGAGGATAACAAAGCAAAGCGTTAATTGATTCAGCGTTCATCTTTAACTGAATGTTTAAATGTTCATTTGGACTGCTTCGTCAAAAAAATAAAATAAAATAAGTTGAAACAAAGAACCATTTCACAATTAGTTTCTATTGTTCAACCTATGAAACGGATCCAAACTGAATGGAAAATGTTTGGAATCAGGTGATTTGCTAAGTTTGCGAGCCAGACAATCCATTTAGTGATTTGACAGTTGCTCCTTCCGCCGATTTAAAACTGGTAAAGAGCGAGATGCATCTAGAATAGCCTTCGGGTGGGGTTTTTACACATACATTGCCATTAAGGGTGAAGTATCCAACAAGAGTTGTTCTGTGCCTGGTTCAGAAAAAAAGAAAATCTAATATAAATAGTGCCAATTAGAAGATTTTAAATGAATGGTTTAGTTTTTTTTTATTCAATTTAGTCCTTTATTTGTGTTAAAGCCGCTGTACCCATTCAAATGAATTAAAAATATAAGCAAATTTTTTGTGTAGTTTGATAAAAATCGGTATAAAACCAAAGTAATCAAGGTTTTCTCTTCATTTTCACCATTTTTCTTCGAAATTGATAAACACTGGGACCTTGAAGAAAAAAAAATGTCTTATTGAAGTGAATCGGGATGTATGTGAGCGCCAATTGTTTATTTGTTTATTTAAGAATATCCGTTGCGAAAAGGAACCCCTTAGTAAAAAGTTTTAACCTGAGTTAAACTTCGCGCCGGTTATTTGCCGATTCCTAGAGGGTGCTACCCATACTGTATATGAATGCATTTGCTTACGCGCTAAGACTTTTGCATACATAAGTATATGCAAGACAATTACCCAGCAGTGATACTACAATTGCCAGACAACGCCATTAACTCCAGAACTGACTCCCTCATCTCTTACCGCCAATGTGAAGCAATGTTAAATGTAATGCATATTTGAAAAGAAAAGGCAGAGAGCTTAATCAAATGCCATTTGTCATTCGCTGCTGGGTATATTTAAACCTACTCATCTACCTACTTATGCATATACGGTACAGCTTTGCACACCTTACTTACATACTTACAAAAAAAGCGTATGCACCAAAGTGGTGAATTGACGTCGTGCCCAAATTGCCTTCTACGCATGCCAAAATTTTATATGCAATACGCGTCTTTTGCTACTACATTACCACTTCCGCATCACGTCTACTATACTGCCTTATTACTTACTGTATGGTTGCATATATGAATGTTTGTTTGTATATATGTAGATACATAAGAGTGCGTACGGTATGGACAATCAGTTATTACATACAGTATTTCAAAAAACGACTTGTTGTCTAAAAAAAAATTGGTCCACCTGCGTGGCAAAGGCTTTGAATGATAATTTTAGTATCACAACTTGTTTTTTGTAAGTGGTACATAAATAGGCATCGTTTCCCCTTAACTATCACATCCAAGCCACGCTATAATCAATGTTTGGTTGAGGAAGAAAAGACAAAAAAAAATGAAAATAAAGAAATAAAAGCACAGTATAATTTGATTAAGAAGCATATTTATTAAATAAGATTTATGTTATATATGTTTATTATATAAAACACTGAGCTACAATAGAAATAATGTTATAAAAACTTATAACATAACCTTTAATACATAATCCATAAAAATACTTGAATACTCTACAATTACATATTTTACCGCCATGTGGATGAAAAATACTTTGTTCTTATTCTTGTTGTTGGTTCTTCTCTTTAATTTATTACTTTTTCATAATCATTAAATTTAATCGTTTTGTTTTCTTTCTGGTTTTTTTCTTGTTTTAATCGGTGTACTCTTCAATTTATACGCGAACTTGATGTGTTTACATATATTTATATACGTATATATATATATACATATATATATATATACATATACATACATATATATATACATATATATGCGAATGATTTATGTATGCAGTTGCAATTATGTATGCATGTATGATTTTGTATATAGATTTATTTATATTTATGCGTATTGAAATAAATACGATGAGCAAAAAATAAAAAAAAACAAAGCCAATAGTGCTAACAATTTGCATTATCTTTTATGCATTTATGTATGTGTGGGTGTATGCGATTTTATTTTATGCGTGTGAGTGTATGAATTTGATGTATGCGCGTTTGTATGTGTATGTTTGTCTATGCAGGTGTGCTAATGTTTCGTTCTCATGGTTGTATGTATATTTGTTCTTGTTGGTATACTACGCTTTGTAGTATGTACATATGTATGCTCGTATTAATGTAACTACTCACGCTTGTAATGATTTTTGTGATATTTCGAATATTTCGAATATTGAGTATTTTTTAGTTTTTTTTTTTTTTTTTTAATTTATGCTTTAGTTTCTTTTACACAATATTTAATGTTTTTGTTTGTTTCTGGAAAAGAACTTATACATATGTAACTCTTGTAGCAGCGTTTTAATTTGTTTTGTTTCGTTTTTGCTTTTGTTTTGGTCAACATTCAAAACACAATGTTCATACGATACAATTTCTTTTTCATTACATATTTTATATTTGCACACAAATTAATATATTATAGAAAAATAAACTTAATTACAGTTAGGTTTAAAGCATTTCTGCTTTTGTTGTTTTCATGATTTCTTTTCATTTATGTTGCTTTTTTTCTTTGTTTGTTTTTGGAAGTAAACAATATAATTATACAATAAAAAAAGAACATTTAAACGAAAATGTAAAATAAACAAAAATTAGCAGTTAGAATCATCCTTCATCGTCAGAAGTTATTTCGCCTTTAACTAATTGCAATTTCTTATACATTATGTATATTTTTTTATAATTTTATGCTAATCGTAATATATATATATATATATAAAAAAGGTTTTTCAAATTTTATTGTATTATACTTTTTTGTGTGTGATTATTTTTTTCTGTTTTATTTTATATTTTAAATGCATGTCCTTTACAGTTGTCCTAAGCTTATCGACATCGATATTTACTTTGTTTCTTCCTTCTCCTTATTCTCCTCTGTGATTTCCTTTTCATTCGACTGTAAAGATAAAGAAAAAGAAAACAATACAAATTTTAAATAGTATTTTTATGAATATAAAAATTTTATGCGTGAAATATTTCATAAATTATTTGATAAAAATTAAGTAGGTATCAAACATATGTAGAATATTTTTCACGTAGTTATACGAGTTTTTTACTTCTTTTACGGAAGAGAGTTAATTCTTGTAATTTTTGTTCTGGCAGGCTTTCACAAATCGAGTAAAAGTTTCGATTGCAATGCGAGTAGGTCCTTCCGGTTTGTGTGACAACATCAAGGCGCACGCCACAAGTCGGAGGAGAAGCTCGGCCAAACACTAACATATGTGTTAGCGCCAATCTATTATTATTATTTAAGTATTGAGCAATCGGCAGTAGCTTCTGCAAAATAAATCGAACTCTCTTCCGACACAGTACCAACTTTAAACTCCCATTTTTTATATTTTTTTGCAATCCTCAAGTCTACGCCTTTAAATTGGAAGTACAAGCTGTAGTAAGGCAGTTGAGATCCCAATATTTAATATAAACCTGGGCAAAAAATGCTCTTCAACCCTTCTGAGTTATACCCGCGCTGCTGGATGACGCTGAGTTCCACTGAAAAGCATAATTTCCTTTAACTGAGTCGTCTTACCCCAAGGACAGTGCTTATTACAGCTTCCAGGATGTTTGCTTTTAATCGTAAAAACTCTTTGCTTTTGATTTTCGCAGGGATTCCCGGATAATAACCGCTTCGAAGGCTCCCCTATTTTAAATATTTGAGGACTTAATGCGTCTTTTTCCAGCATCATCGGCATCATAAACAAATTTTTAATACGCTAACATGCGCGAAAAACTTACGAACGTACTATCTCTGAATGCTTAGATAAAAAAAAACTCTGTTTCGAGTTTAACGATGCTTTCCAAACCAAAAAGTTTGTATACACTTATTTTTTCGCCCTGGTTACTTTAAGGGAAATCGATATCAATATCAATAAATATTAAACATATCGATAATCCATAAAATCTATAAGATATGTACATAATATATCGAAAACATTTTGAGTATGTAGGCAATTATATCCATAATTTTCGATTATTACGTCACACTTTGCATTGTTCGTCTAGCATACCTTGTCTTTTTCCAATTCTTTCTCGTTCTTATCGGAATCATTCTCCTGCTCATTCGATTTCTCGGGTTCACCCTCTTTGCCCTCCTTTGTTTCAGGCCTAGTTAGAAAAAAAAAAAAATAGAACAAGAAATGGTTGAAACAATTACAAATTTAGCAAATAGCGAGCTATTTCCACTAGGCATTGAACATTTTAGTTGTTTAAAAAACATCACGTGGAAACATAATAAAGTATTTAAAATAAAGCATAGAGTGTCTACACGTGACATTATTAAACATAAACTAAAATATTATTTAACGTTCAACATTGTTTTTAAAATGTTTGTCATTCAATGTCCAGTGAATATCTGGCATAAGGCTTCAAATCGAAAAAAATATATAAAAAATAAAATAAAAGTAATCACAAAAAAATACTAAGACTTACTCTGGCTTTGGAATATGAGCATTCAAGTCCAATTTTGTGCAAATCTCATCCCAATCCGGGAAGCATCGCTCCTTCATTCGCGACACATGACCCACTAAGTTGGGACACTTTTCGGTCATGAAATCACGTAGCGGATACGAGATATCCTTCGACAAGTAATGCAGCTGCGATAATATGGCAAACGCAACCACATCCAAAGTGGTTGGCTCATCGCCAAAAAAGAATGGCTTGCAATCCAACATTTCGCTCAACACCTTCAAATCGTTCTTGCCAAATTCTTCAATCTCTTCGGGGCTGTGTACACCGATGCCGTGAGCCTTCAATTTTTTTGAACCCTGGAACCACTATTTATGAAAAATCACCATATTGCAAAATAAATTGAATTACATATATCAGGGGTGGATTTCATGTTCAAAACCATAAAAATCAGCACTTTAGCGCATGAAAGACTATGTATGTAATTACGAGTAAATATTTATGCCACAGAGACGGCAAAGAGTGGTGGTGCAGTAGACACAGAGAGACAGATTAAGCAATTGCGAGATACCAAGCGTATCTAGATAAATATATATGTAGATATCTAAATACAGATTTCTATAGTTGATAGCTAGATATGTACATATGTAGTTATGGCTGAAGGCAAATATGATACTTTTGTAATTCTTATTTTTGGTTTGGCAAAAGTATTACAAATCTTTTAAATACATATATTTATTACTCACAATTAGCTTTTTACACATATAAGTGCACACTTGCGTTATAGCCACATACATATGTATGTACATATCTTTGCCGATTTTTATTGTTTGTGGTTACGATATGAGAAAGCCAAAAGCGATTTAATAATGTAGCAATGTAAGTAAGTATAGCGTGCGATAAGTCAGTGTAAATAACGGTGCAAATGCGAGCAAATCAAATGAGTAATCGTAAAAATATGATTTTTTTCTGAATTTTCTGCTTTCTTAATACTCCTATGTACATATGTATGATGATTATACATATATTTTTAAATTGGATGACTAATGAAAGTCGAAATCAATGAAAAGTTGTTGATGCATTGCTTCAAAAGAGTGTTTTCTTATCAGCCCACCAAACTGCACCTAGCAGCTATTTATAAATACATTGATGTGTGTGTATGTCGATATAATTTCAATATACGTTATATGTACATATACCATGTATGTATATATAGAATATATATCAAAGCAAATCAAGCGAAAAACAACCGCCAAGTAAGTATGTACATACATGTACATATAAACTATGTATAAATGGATAAGTACAAACCTTTCGTCCAAAAGTGAATTTAAATACAAAATTCAAAATCGAGTTTGGCCAACGCAAGCCGAGTGCGTGTTGCAAATTCACTTTATATCCTTTCAGTACATTATCGGGATACTTGGCGCGCCAATAGAAGATAATCCAAATCAAGTGATTCTCCAACATTGCAATCATGGCATATGACACATTTCGTTGCTCTGTTGTAAGAGCAGCATCCAAATTCTTATCATATCGAGCTGATAGTTCCTTGATAATAATGGCTGAATCAGCGATTTCCTCACCATTCAATTCAATGAAAGGTAATTGGCCCTTCTTTGAACGGAAACGCATTTTATGATCAACATTCTGTAAAAGAGAGAAAACGAGACAGATGATAGAGGACTTTTTGTGTGGCATAAAAAAGGATGCAAATAATTTAAATAGAAAGTAAGGGCATATGATCAATATTAGGTTCATATACATATGTACATATATCGATGGCTGAGTGGAAGATCGGCAGCCAGTTTGAAAACGCCCTATCTCAGAAAATTTTTCTACATCGTTCTAGCTCAGAAAATTTCTCACGAACGCCCTACTTCAGAATTTGATTGAAAAATGCCCTACCTCAGAATTTGGTTGAATAACGCCCTATCTCAACTGCCGATTTGAAAACGCCCTATCTCAGCTTATTTTCAATGTATTTTCGTTTAAGATAGGGCGTTTTTGAGCCGAATTCTGAGATAGGGCGTTCTTCAACAAAACTCCGAGATAGAGTGTTTTTCAAGCAAATTCTGAAATAGGTTGTTTTTCAATAAAATTCTAAAGTAGGGCGTTCTTGAAAAGTTTTCTGAGATAGGGCCTTTTCAAACCGGCTGCCGAGATAGGCCGATCTTCTACTCAGCCATCGATATGCTTTATACTTTACGAGTGGTCAAGGTCGCAAACAATAGGATAAATTTTCAAAATTGCGATAACTGTTTTTGCATTATTTATTTTATTTATTTATTTAGTTTATTTAAAGTTATACTCCATTTTTAAGCAGTAGGCAATCCCGTAATATTTCATGTACCCTTGTGGTCAGCTGATTATCTAAAGTGACATTTTGACTAGTTTTGCCTATTTCTATTTTGTTTATTTAATGTTTATATTTCTTTTATAAAAGTCTTGCACTTTACCCTAACCAGCCCCATATAAGTCTACATTTCAAACTTCGTACAAAAATTATGAAAACTCAACAAACTTTAACATTTGCGCCCGAAAATTTTAAACTTTTTATTCAGAATTTTTAGAAAACTTTCGCAGTTTTGTAGCTAATTAAATTTAAGTAGTTAATTATTTAGTTAAAGAGCAAATTTCAAGATGCTAGAAAATCGCGTTGATTTTTAATAACTTTTTTGCTCCTCAATTATAGGAAAATCGAAAAAAAAACTAAGGTGCAGCTTCCTTTCCCCTAAAAAAAAAAACCATCCTAATGTAGGATCTTCACTAACAACACTTTTATGCACAAAAATCTGGAGTACGGCTGCCTCTTAATAGTAAATTATCGAAAATCGAGTATGGAAAAAATGTCACATTGCGCTTTTATGCCTCCGAGTGAAACTACCACGGGCAAATTTTTTGTCAAAGAGTGGCTCAACAGGAACCTTTTTAATATATTTTTTTTGTATATTTTTTAAGCCCTTAATAAATTACCACCCACAATTCAAGCAGCGAAGTTTTCACTTAGGGCCTTGCCAATATCTAATAACCAAAATTTAAATACTTATTTTTCTTCAGTAAAAAAAAAAAAACGAAAAAACTAACACCAGTTTGTCGCTTAAGTCTTTTGTCTCATACAAATTGAAAGACTTAAGAAGCAAACTTGTGTTTAGGAAGAATGGCAATAAAACGTTAGTTAATTTATAGTTCGTAACTAGTACACTGGAATTTAAAAAAAATACCTAAAAAAAAAATACCCAAAAATAAAGGAGTACTTAACCCTTTGACGGCCGATTGGGTTTCCCAAATTTAAAAGTGGTTATATGGTAATAAAGATATTAAGTGAATTTTTAGAATATATTAATCACAATACGGTTTAGTTATTCACAATACGGTTTAGTTATTCACTTAAATAACGAAAACAGCTATCAAAAAATTATAAATTTGTTTTTTTATATTATTTGTAGTACAAAATGAAAAAATGAAGTATTTTTTTTAAATATAAAAAAAACAAAAAACCGAAAAAAAAACTATTATAAACGTATTTAGTTATATAAAAAATAGAGATAAAAAAGTAAATAACAAAAGATTTTTAATTAAATTTAAACCATAATCTGCAAGCGCACCACACTTTTTTGGTTTGCAGTGTCTGCATAATGGAACGGGTTAAAGAAAAAGAGAATCGCTAACTGGGGTTGCTAAGTCCACCTTTAGTGAAAACTCATATTTTGATGTAGAAAGCAAAACAAATTAAAATGCTTCGTTTCCAAAAGGATTGAGGCACCTGTTATATTTCTCACCATTTTTTTATTTAGTGGAAGGCAAATATGCTAAGTCCAAAAGAGGCACAGATAAGGCCAAATTAATACGAAATCTTTTATTTAACAACCCATTCTTCTTATCCGCAAAATGTTGGATTAAAAGTTTTGCCAAATGTTAGAAGAAAATAGCTACAAAAATTTTGTTTTCTCTCCTGTAAATTTTTTAAAGATGGACTAAGTACTTTTCACTCTAAGCTAGCGAAATGTTTCAACATGAGTAATTTGCGCCAGCCTCAAATTTAAGATAGAACGGTGGGGCCAACCAACATCTATGCTTTATAAAGGGTTGCACTTACTTACTGAAATTCATCAAGATGATGGATAGGGCACTCTATTTAATACATCAATCATAGGCATTCAGTATATTTCTGTATCATGGAAATTAGTTTCATTCCATTGACATTCATTGCAAGGCATTCGAAGCCTTTTGACCACCCCGTGATACAAATTTTCGCTTTTATTTCATTATTTTTGTTATTTATGCCATATAATTTTACAAAAATCAGCATTTTTTTCCTATCAATAAATAGCAAAATCATTCACAATTTTTATCTGTGCTGCGCTCAAATTATGCCAGATATGAAAAATATACTTTTTGCTCATCAAAATTGCAAACTATGCGTTTTAAATTCCACACAGATATTTCAGTAAATCGATGCAAGTTGCAGAAACACATACATATACAGAAACATATACGAGTATTTGCATAAACACTAAGCTATGCAGTAGCGGTCAAAATATGGGTAGGTGGCACTTATACGAGTATATATAAATAAATAAAGAAATAGGCGCATTTTTAACGCTATATTTGTTTATATTTGCAATAAATAAAAACGTAAAGGGATTTCAAATTTCAATTCAACTCAAGTGCGCGCGCGATACGCGACACATACCTGTGCATATACATACATACATACCCAATTTGCCAGAGGGCGAAGACGAGTTCGTATCAACGTCGTTATGACGACCCCTGGAGAAGTCGTTTGGGTGAACTCGAAACGACGCCGAAACGAAGTCGTTTTTTCTATACAAAATGCAACGTCGTTCCGACTTCGTTTTTTCTCAATCGAAGTCGTTGCAACGTCGGTCTGGTGAAGTCGTTTGGGTGAACTCGAAACAAATTCGTTTCTTCGAACCCACAAGTTTTTTGAGGAACATTTTTATATATCTAAGCATAAATAAAAGTCATTCATTTGGATAGTAAACCGTTTTTATTATGACAATTTTTATTATGACAGAATATGGAATAAGCCGACATATTTTTTTCAGTATTCATAAAATTTTTCATATACAATTTTTTGAATTTTTTTTTTTGTAAAAGTACAGTTCACTCTATTGGCCTTATTAATAAAAAATAAAATTTGTGGGTATGAAGTTTTTTTTTTAAATTTGGTATAAAACTGTACTTTTACTTTAAATTTGGTATAAAAAATGTACGAAAAAAAGACTAATAATAATTGAAATATGTAGGTGGCTTAATTTTAACAAAAGTATATGTATATTGCACATTGCTTGAATTTTGAACTACATGGTCCTTGTTAAAAAATTTACCCAATTTTTATAAAGATAACCTAAATGAAGTAACAAAAAATAATGTATTAAAGCTTTAGTGTGTATTTTATGACTGAATGTTTTCCTTATTTTTCTTTTTAGTTAATATTTAAGTATGTACATTTAAAAACCTTAAAAAATCAACTGTATTAATTTAAAAAATTTTAAATAAAAGTTTGTTTTTAATTTTGTACTACTGCATGCAATTTTGAGCATCGTTTTGCAGTTCGCTGGTATATCGCTTTTGCGGGCTGCAGCGGAGTCGGTTTTGCGACCCGCCGGCGAGTCGTTTTTGCGTCGTTACGACGTCGTTTCGCAAATTGGGTACATAGATATGTATACATATACAATATGTATGTACATATGTGGTATCTAAAGCACTGCGTCGCAATTAGGTTTTAGCGGCTAGACAATTTTACAGTTTCCTTATACAAGCGGCGCTGATGCGCATAAAGCATTTTTTAAAGGCGCGCTTACATGCCTTAACGCTTAAGTGTGTAAGTAAATGAGAATAAGTGTTGAGCCGCATCCATGGCATAGTGGGTGCCAAACTGGAATTCACATCTCAAACAGATCGATTTCATACATGTTTTTAAATGAAAGCTAATAAAATTTAGAAGATATTTGTTGACCTCAAAATTTGAATTTTTATTCGTTTATATTAACTTGGTGCAAACTGCAGAGAATGTAGCAATTTAAAAAAAAAAATCAAATCGTTGGAATGTGTAATAAATGAAAAAAATGAAAAAGTAAAAGCTTAAATTTCTAAAAAAATTTTACAAAAATTTTAATTTTTTTGCAGGTATGCAGTTTTATAGCGCATTAAATTTTAGTGTGATAAAGTCGAAGTTTCAACCGTGCGTTGATTTTCAATTTGTTTTTCAGACATTTAGAAAAAAAATTATTAAAATCGGTTGAAAATAAAGTTTCTAAAAAATTTTCAACAGTAAATTCCAGCTTGGCATCACTGTGCATGGGTACGTATGTACATACATACATACTTTTATTTTGAGTGCACGTGCATTTTTGTGTTAGGTATTTCATGTGCATCTACGTCCGTCTAACGCCAAATCTGTAGGCCCGACAAATTTTTTTATTTTTGTTTTTTTAAATTTTTGAATTGAAATTGTTTCACGTTATGCTCAGAAATAGTTGAATGCATATCCTATATACATATATGTAAATATGTATACAGTGGTGGAAAAATAAATAATAACGCTACATTTTAACAAGGTTTACTTATTTTTGTATAAACATCTGTAAAAATTTATGTACCTACATATATATTTTCTGCATATTTATGTATGTATACGCACAAAGAGTTATTA